GAGGGGCTAGGGGCCTACCCTAATAAGGGGTGACTAGGCCATAGTCAACCACGCTGGCCCATTGCGGGTTGGTTGACTTCACACATATCTTTGAATTTCTACGACGATTTTGCAGGTTGCATCACGATGTTTTCCTACACCGTAAGAACGTCGGTAAAATATATTCACATGAAATTCGAAAATCGTATTGGTACATGGCGGAATTCAGACCTGTAGAATACAAGTCAAGTACTTAAATCCCTGATCCAACGGTGCTCTGAGTAAAATAATATAGTCCTTGTTTATTCTAAACTGTCGCATTACAAAGTACGAAGTGACAAATTCTGAACGCGTCAAGATTGTATTTTGAAAATATCTTTTTTAGCTCTAGCAATTGTAATAAACGGTATAAAGTAGAAGCTGTCGACAGAGACTTCTTCTGCGCGCCTATGATAAGAAAATTCATGTTACATTTTACTCCTATGTTAAATTTCATCCAGACCCATGTAGCTGTTCTGGAGTTACATAGTAACGAACATTCATCCATTCAGACTTTCACAGTTATATTATTAGTCAGATAAAATGTGCTGTTTACAGAAAATTCTCGAGGATCCTCTATATATTGGTTTAAGGCAAAAACGTGTACGGGGTAAAGAATATGACGATTTTATTGATGAATTCATGGCTGCGTGTGTACAGAAATATGGCCAAAGTGTACTATTACAGGTAATTTTATCTTACAAAATGTTATACATATCTAACGACTAAATTCTGAAATGAATCTCTAATACTTCGCTTCGTAAGCGCCGCTTACAAATTTCTAAAAGAATTTGGACTTCTACTCAGTATGAGTTACATATTTAAATCTCGTTTCAGCATTAAGCCGTTAGTCTCCTGTTTTGAAAACCAGTTACTATTTAATTTAATGTTGTTTTTATCAGTTTGAAGATTTCGCTATGGCTAATGCAACACGACTTTTGGCTAAATATCGAGATCAATATTGCACTTTTAATGATGACATCCAAGGCACGGCGTCAGTCGCCGTCGCCGGACTTCTAGCGGCAATTAGAGTCACTAAGAAGAAAATAAGTGAAAACACTTTTATGTTTCTTGGTGCTGGTTCCGTAAGTGCTTTAACTTAGTTTATGTATTACCTAATTTGTAGGTTATATACACATGTAACGATATTAATTGGAGTGTCTGTAATACTAGCTGTTGCTCGCGACTTCGTCTGCGTGAAAGAAGAAATAATAAAAAATATAGCCTATGTTACGCACTGATAACTTAGCTTTCTACTGGTGAAAGAATTCTTGAAATAGGACCAGTAGTTTTTGAGTTTTTCATATACATACAAGAATACCAAGATACAAAAATACAAATCTCCACTTTATAATATTAGTGTATAGATGAATAAAAAATCCAGGTTTCGCGAAGAACATGTATTTGCGTTCGAAAATCAGATTAAAATAACTTTTGTCTATTCTATCTCACTGTCCGCAATTCGCGTTTGTTCCGGGCAATCTCCGAAATGGCGTGGTCGATTTCGACCGAACTTTTACTTTAGGGTAGCTAACATAGACAGGCACATTATAGGCTAATTTTATATCTTACTATTGCGTGGACGAAACCGAGGGAAACAGCTAGTTAAATAACAAAGATTGTGATTGTAGGCGGCTACAGGTATCGCAGGTTTGGTAATATTAGCTATGTCTAAGGAAGGTTTGACGGCAGAAAAAGCTCGTGAGAAGATTTATATGATCGACATAGATGGACTTCTTACGACACGTCGCGAAAGTGGTATACCCGAACACGCCAAAGATTTTGGAAGAGATTTGGAGCCGGAAAAGAATTTTGAAGCAAGCGTTAAGAAATATAAACCTACATGCCTTATTGGTAAGGATACACTATTAGATATTATAACTTCTCTTGCAAATAACCATAGAAGTATACGTGTTCTTCGAGACTATGTTCTACATTTATCCTAAATAACAGTGGTAGAGCTCGCTTTAATATCTTCGCATTGTAAAGTCGGCTCGCCCGGTGTGCCAACACCACACAGAAG